ACAGTGCACATTTGAAAAGTTAATGCAAGTTTTTTTATTGCACGAGTCATGATAATTTAACGCATAATGTAAATGTAGAGTATACCTTTAAATCCTGTTGCTTAAATGGTGATACGTTCATTCATGCTTTAAATTATCATGACCCATGCATTACTTAAGCAATAATTGATCAAGTTTATACCCTTATTGTGACGTGTTGACCTTCATTCTGCTTTTACTGGTGGTTCTTGGCAACTGAATGCCTTATTTGGTCTTTTTGTAAAGCTGAAGCTACATTACATTTAAAAATGGATGTTTTGAAGTCTCCTGTTGCCATGTTTGATAGGAAATGGCAATAACGTTTCAATAACCATGGATTACATCATTAGATTTGTTTTACTTGAATAATTACGTAAGGTTTATGTATAGGATCAATTCAAGTTAAAATGTATAAATTAAATAAACACATATGTTTTATGTTGAAGATCAACTAAGGTTTATATCAATTAATTAAATTAATTAATAAGGTTTATGTTAAAGATCAACTAAGGTTTATATCAATTAATTAAATTAGTTGATAAGGTTTATGTTAAAGTTTTCATTAATTTAACTAAATTAAATCTGACTAAGTTACTTAATTCATTCAAGCTGCCACAATGTGATATTAAACTTTAGACTTTAATGCAATATTTTACCTTGAATTTATGTAATAGAATTACATGGAAAATTGACATGTGATTAAATCACTTAAAATCTATGTTTTTGAGTTAATTATTTTTATGAGTGTACTTTCATACGTATTCGCCTGATAATGTGGGCAGAGAGAAAAGCAATCGATCCCAGATAATCTCAGAATACTCAGAAAATTCATATCACAGATAAACATCACTAAATCTTAATTTTAACATATAACTGATAACTTTAGTATTTTAAATGATTTCATAATTTTTATCACTCGGTACTCAGATTGTAAAAGAATATTTGTATATTCAATTCAAACGGTCCAGCTCAATTGTATGTAGGCTACTAAATACATACCACTGTTATTGAATGAACATACACCAAATTATCAATTAATTATTAAAGCTGGTTGAGATGGTAAAACTAATTGCAATTACTTCACTGTCATTGGATGTAATTTATCTGTAACTTTATTGTGAGAAAATCCTGAAATAACATATATAACTGTAAAGAAACAACGCATATCCGAGTGTGCCACTGCCACTTTTTGAACTGTTAAAGTAAATGTGCAACTTTTGTCATACAGTGGAGGAAATAATTATTTGATCCCCTGCTGATTTTGTAAGTTTGCCCGATTTCAAAGAAGTGAGAGGTCTATGATTTTTATGGTACCTTTATTTTAACACACAGAGACAGAATATAAAAAAAAAGTCCAGAAAAAAAACATTACATAAAGTTATAAATTAATTTGCATTTGATCAAAGGAAATAAGTATTTGATCCCCATGCAGAACATGACTTAGTACTTGGTGGAGTGACCCTTGTTGGCAAGCACAGAAGTCAGACGATTGTTGTAGTTGGTCACCAGGTTTGCAGACATCTCAGGAGGGATTGTGGGCCACTCCTCTTTACAGATCCTCTCCAAATCCTGAAGGTTTCGAGGCTGTCGCTTTGCAACTTGAATTTTCACCTCCACAAATTTATAGGATTAAAGTCTGGAGACTCGCTAGGCCACTCCATGACCTTAATGTGCTTCTTCTTGAGCCACTCCTTTGTTGCCTTGGCCTTATGTTTCGGATTGTTGTCATGCCGGAAGACCCATCCACGACCCATCCTCAGTGCTCTGGCTGAGGAAAGGAGGTTCTTGTCCAAGATCTTACAGTACATGGCCCCATCCATCGGCCCCTCAATGCGTGAAGTCCTGTACCCTTAACAGAGAAACAGCCCCAAAGCATAATGTTTACCCCTCCATACTTGAGAGATGGTGGGGGATGGTGTTCTTGGGTTGGTATTCAGCGTTTCTCTCCCTCCAAACACAACAACTTGAGTTTATGCCAAAGAGTTCAATTTGGTCTCATCTGACCACATCACCTTCTCCCAAGCCTTCTCTGAATCATTTAGGTGTTCACTGGCAAACTTCAGACGGGCCATCCTGAGCATGGGGACCTTGCGGGCACTGCAGAATTTCAATCCATTACGGCACAGTGTGTTTCCAATGGTTTTCTTGGTGACTGTGGTCCTAGCTGCCTTGAGATCATTACAAAGCTCCTCCCGTGTAGTTCTGGGCTGATCCCTCACCATTCCCATGATCATCCTTACCCCACGAGGCGAGATCTTGCATGGAGCTCCAGACAGAGGGCGATTGATGGTTATTTTAAATTTCTTCCATTTTATTATAATTGCATCAACAGTGTCTCCTTCTCACCAAGCTTCTTGCTGATGGTCTTGTAGCCCAATCCAGCCTTGTGCAGGTCTACAATTTTGTACCTGATGTCCTTTGAAAGTTCTTTGGTCATGCCCATGGTGTTGGAGTGGTTGGAAAGGAAGAGATTGATTCTGTTGACATGTGTCTTTTTTACCCATAACGAGCAGTGATTGGGAGTACTTTCTTAAAGTGACAGGACTAATCTGAGTGCCTCCCGGGCAAATAATCAGTCTGTGGGAGCCAGAATTCATGTTGGTTTGTCGGGGATCAAATACTTATTTCCTTCGATCAAATGCAAATGAATTTAGAACTTAATACAATGTTTTTTTTCTGGACTTTTTTTTTTTTTATATTCTATCTCTGTTTGTTAAGATAAAGGTACCATAAAAATTATAGACCTCTCACTTCTTTGTAATTGGTCAAACTTACAAAATCAGCAGGGGATCAAATAATTATTTCCTCCACTGTATAACATGCAAATTGAGAGAAGAAGGTGTGAATTAAAAAACAGCTTTTGAGAAAGTTCTAACATTAGCAAAACTTTGACATAAAATGTAAAAAAAAAAAACAGTCCATCTAGAATTTCTAATGTATGTCACATCTTACATATGTCTTATTTCAGTTTGCCAAAATCATTTAAATCTGATAATATTCATATCTAATAAGAATATTGTATATGGATTTTTTTGTATTTTGTACTCTGGATCTTTTACGTGGTTTGACTGTCATGCACAGGGGTGGGCAACTGGTGGCCCCCATCAACCCTCAATGAGGCCCTCAGGTCAATTTTTACATATCAATTAATTGGAAACATGAAGAAAAGATGACAAAATCTGCCATGAAATCATGAAAACAAGAAATATTGCCCATCCCTGTCATGCGTGTATTAAGTTTCAGATAAAAGATATAAACATTTAGTAAAACATTTTTATTTCTTTTCCATATGGGTGTCTCCGCCACCTTGACATATTTCAGCACTCAATGGAGATGCGTTGTTTATGCAGAGTTTATGCTTCAGGCCCATACTTCAGTTACTGTCAAACTGGTTTTCATCTGTTCAGTTGTTGTTCAGCTGCCGTTTTTAAAAATGACTGGATACGTAACCCACTGTTAAATGTAGGGAGGCAACATTCTTATGAAGGGCATCATTCATCTTGATAATACAACTTCTAACCTTGATGACTTTATGAAGCTTCTTTATCACTTTTTTGACGCTTCTTGTTATGACAGGTTGTCTTGTTTTCTGAGTAAAAGGTTTACTTTTTTTTATTTGGATTTCCGTCACATCACAGAGATTTCACCACTGTGTTCACTCCAAATGAATCTCTTCTGAGGTAAGCCGTAATATTCTTTATTTTGTTTGGGTGAAACTTATGTTTCATTTTATAGACGCTGAGAAAACAACATGTTTCCATTAGTGTCTACTTTGAAGGTATTATTTTAACATTTTCTGTACCTCTTTTATGCTGCATGCTTTAAGCTTCTTGCGTCTGATTTTAGTTTTTAATTGAACCCCTGTATCACATTTACTTGTTTTGTTACTGGATACTTTAGGGATAGGAAATACTCTTCACTGTTTGAGTTCAAGCTCTGATATAAAACCCCATGTCATATATCATACTTTATCAATCTATGATCCCATCAGTTAAAAAGCACATGTTCAGTTTGATAAATCTAGTTTAAAATAGTCCTCCATTTAGAGGTAGTACAGTGCCATCAAAATATATTTAAATGCCCAAAAATAAGTGTCGTCATTTGGTAAGCATGAGCTATTTGAACAGTTTCAATTAAATTACTGTAGACATGGTATCATATATGCTGAAGCTGTGAGACACAGAGTTGATGAGGTGAATTTAATGTTGTCTAAAATTATACTCCATTATTTTAAAATCATTACTTTTTTAACCTACAAAGTAACAAGTGAAACTGAAAAAAACATTGAGGCATAAATGGAATAGAATTAGAATCTGAAATGTAAATGTGTTAAAGTATAAAGTAACAAAATAGTACCAGTTAAAATGTCTACTTCAAAACAATCTTTAGTTAGGTATTAAGCTCTTTTACCTGCTTTTTGTAAAGTGTGTTGAGATAACACTTGTTATGAGTTCTGGTTGTATAAATAAAAATTGATTGATTGACTGATTAGACTAAATGTACATGTTTCCTTCGTGCCTCCATTACTGCGTGCCTGCAGGTAAACTAACCCTACCTTAAGTCAACCTTTTGTCCTCAAGTGACTTCAGTACATTTCATAAGACCATGTAACCTTGGCACACCTGATTGTGAGAATTTGATCATCAGTATGAACATTGTAATTATGTTCCTGTCAAACCTCTGGCACCAAAAAGTTGTTTTGTTGTACACTCCCTGTTTGGTAACATATAATTATCACATTCTTGAGTGACTACATTAGTTTGATGTTGGTAGTGAGACATGATGACACTATAAATATTCAGAGGTTTTTATGACTGAGTTAAGTGACTTCCAGAAGAATTCATATGATAAACTTAACACAGAGTCTGTTTCCCCTTTTTGTTGTTTTAATCCAGTACCAGAGGAGGACTCACCATGTGGCTAAAAGGTTTTATAAGTAACCATGTCAACATGAAACTTGTGAAGACCTGTATCATCCTTCTCCTTGTGTATGTGTTGTTCTTTACACTAAGAAACATGGCCCTGCTGCAGGTGAGAACTGGGATTATTGGTAACACTTTAAAGGTGGACCTTGTATGTTTTGAGTCTGATTACAGGAGACTATTTACAACAGTCTCTTTCGATGTACTCTCAGATAACATTAATCTTTTTGTTGCAAATAAACACTACAGGGGCTGGGGGGTGAGGGCACTAGCATGGGCCCTACTTGAAAACGATGCTCACCTGCTGCACCCCCAAAATGCTAACCAGCTATTCGCCTTGTCAAAGGTTGGACAGATGATAATATAACATTTAGGTGGGGAGCATTTTTAATTCAAATATTTCACTGCTTTATTCCATAAAGATTCAAATTAAGACATAAGACTTAAGACATGAAATGTTGAATTTATTTTTTTAAATTTGTTAATATTAGTAATTCTGAAGTTACAGGAGTGTCCACTAGAGTGGACATCATGCAACTCTATAATGGGAAAAATGTTTATTTATTTATCTTGTAGTGCATAAACAACGATAATAATTCTTCCCCTTTCAAAATCACATTTCCAATTTTCACATGTCAATTGGGGTGGAGAGATCCATTTAAATTTAAGTTTTGAATATAATAATATAAAGTGTTTGAGTTTTTGAGTGTTCCTGTTTAAAAAAGGAAAAACATGCTTAATGAGCTCAAACTACCTGCTCAGTTTTTGCCTGAAGGCTGCCTGAACAGCATTTAATGGGAGAAAATAAATGTATGAAGAGTAACCAAAACTATCCCAACATCAGTTATTTTCATGATGAGCAAAGTCTCAGTATTGTCATTGAAATGTAGCCGGCAATGCACGATGTCCAACTAGTGGACAGCCGATCAATCATGATTTTCTCCAAAACTAAAATCAATATTTGGATCTTTTCACAATAACACTGCTCCTTAGTTTTTACTTGATGTTAAGAAAAAAACATCACCTGCAAGTTATATGGACCATCTACATTTTGGCACACTTACAACAGCTGGCCAATGGATGACAGTGTATGGGCTGACTTGCTAAAGTCCACTGGAGTGGAAAACAGCTTTTGAATAGCTGTCCATTGTAGTGACCAGTATGCGTGAAAGGGATAATTATTGGTACAGTCAATATGACCTGCCTTGTTGATTTGATTTTGATTTAATTGATTTATTTGGAACATGTAAAAAACGAAAAACAAAATAATAAAATACCTGTAATTAAAAATATGTAAAAAAATAAAGTGAATTCACAACATAAGAAAGAGAAAACATTGTTCATTCGTTTTTCATGCCCGAAAAAGAGAAGTTAGAATGATTTAATCTACCCCTTTTAACTCAATTTAATTTGTATGAATTATACCATAATATATAATATTAAAAATTGTAATTACTTGTATACCATAATGTAACTATTCTCATTACCATAATTATTTACAGTGTGCCATTACCAGTAACAAAACCCACAAACTATACTAAAGTAAATCATAAACTAAATAATTACAAACACACCCCAGTGATTGTATTACCCTTCCTCATGTACTATATGTTGGAGGGTCAGGTTTTAACCATTTAATTGTGATACAGTTGAGAACTGCTGTTATCACTATTTCTAAAAGATATTTAATAGCTCTACCATCAACCTATCGGTTTTAGGCCCAGTATTTCCTCATTCGATCTTTTGATGAAATATTGTTTCCAGAGCCTCAGAAACCTCCTCCCAAAATGTTTTTAATGTTCAAAATATGGGTATGGGTGCTGATTTGTCTACCACTATTTATCCAACATGTATCACAGTATGCTGAGACCATTTTAACCACTATTACTGGTGTCCGTAAGTATTATCTTCCACTTCAATTCCCTCCATGTATTAGAATTGGCTACAAGATGTGCTTCAGTTCATATTTCTAACATTTTTCCCTCTGGTATGTCTACATTAATTTCAGTTTCCCATCTTCCTTTTATCTGCATTGCAATTTTCAAAGTCATACCTGAAAATACATGATAAAAGTGACTTGTAATTTTCTTACCCCCCATTTCCTGTTTGTGCTATAAACAGAAACTCCTCAATTCAAGGGGCTCCAAGACTTTATTCCATTCTTTATGCTTAGTGGAAAATGTCCTGAACTGTAAATATATAAAGAAATCAGTGTTAGGAAGTGTGAATTCCTATTTAACTGTTCAAATTTTAGACTTCTATCCCTGTGGAGTTGCTGTAGCTTAGTGAGTTCATATTCTGACCATTTCCTAAATCCTGCATCTGTATGGAAGGGAGTAAAACCCTTTATAAATTCAATGTAAGTTAGTCCCGAGATTGCAAACCAAAAGATGCTTTTACTTTCGTCCACATCTTTGGTGTGACTCTGGTCCATTTAACCATTTGAATATCCCCTAATGGGACGTCAATGAAAGCTAAGGCCTGTAAGGGAATAACAAAGACTTTTTTCAATGCTGAGCCAGAGTGTGTCTGACGGCCAAATTCCACCAGCTTCCACTGTCTCAGCTCAGCCAGTCTGGAGCAATCCGTAGCAGTTACACAAGGCTTCTATTTTTGCCAGATGCCGGAGCACGGTGCATCAATTAACCACAGAAAAGATTGAGCGGGAGGGGAAGTCATTTTCCATTTAAAAATAAATTGTACTTAAATTTGATGGTGAAGACATGTTTGAAACAGTTGGGACAGTGGCAACAAAATAGTATACAAGTTGTAAAATGCTTTAAATAACAGCTGATGGAACATCTTACAGTTAATAAGGTTAACAGGAAACAGGCGAGTAACATTTCTAGGTATGAAAAGAGCATCGCAGAGTGGCTTGTCTTTGTTAAGTCAAGATGTGGTGGATGTTTTCTTGTCCACTGACATCCACATATTAAATCCCTTGCAATCCTGTAACTTTTTTTCTTGTGTAGAGATCATGGCAGTATTTTTGAAAAATCTTCCATCCTCTTTTAGTTCAATTTAGTCCATTTGTTTGATACATCGTTGTAACCATCCTTCTTTTTCGACCCCTTGCCAGATTAATTTTGAAGAAAACTCTATCATCTTCCTCAAGAAAGTGACCTCTGCTCCTTCCACTGGTCCTGTGTTGGCTCCTTACATGCCTGACAACTTCTGCACCATCAAGCCACTGTCTTCTGCAGATGCTAAGGAGGAACGTCTCCTATTGGACTCCATTGCTTGGCCTGAGACTCCTCCTCTGCCAGCTCCTTTTTCATTGAATCAGACAAGTAATGCTGCCCACAGCACCTTTACCATTCTCCCAAGGAGGGGTGGAGGAGATTGGCATGTAGGAGACCAGCTGGAAGTTATTATACAAATGTACAACTTCCAAGAAAACCCCAAGAGGTCTGGAGGAGATGCAATTGTTGCCCGGTTGCACAACAGGGCACTTGAAGCAGGTGTGGCTGGACAAGTGGTGGATCTCCTTAATGGCTCCTACTCTGCTGTATTCTCTTTACTCTGGGAAGGAAGCGCACAGGTTGAGGTAAAGTTCAAGGCTATATCCTTAAATGTTAATATACAATAAGTAATGCCAAAATAATTACCTATTGCAATGGTATTGTTCTGTAGGTAGTTTAATTCATGAAATCTAAACCATTCCCCCTGATTACTTTTGCTAACAAGCAACAACATTCAAAGTTAAAACGAAGACATTGTGGAAGTCTGCAGCGCTCCTGGTCCGAAGAAAATACAAGGAAAGAAAACCCTCTGTGCTTGACCAACTAGTTGCCGACTACGCACCAAGACTCTTAAAAACATGCTGTAGAAGCAGGGAAAGTGATACAGACCTGTCTTCGGAGGAAGGCCAGCACTTGAGAGAGGAGGAGAAATTGGAGACTACAGTCTTTGATTCCCTGCTGTTATCCCCCAGTTCTACTCCAATGAGGGAATTGAGTCTGACTTCCCCCTACACTTCACACCAGGGCCACAGGCCTGAGTCTGTCCAACACACGGCTGGTCACAACACTCATAACACTTTATGTTTACACTTTTTAATGGTCTGATGCTCTATAGAACACTTTAGCTACTCTAAAAGTGCTTATGGGCCAGAGATGGTGTCAGAATTGTTGGGTTAGATAGTTGCAAAACTAAGGGTCCGGATATTATGTTACAAGTCAATTTACAGAGTACTTGTTGCAGTGGCCTGGGATTAGACTCCACTCTTGGCCTTTTGCTGAATGTCACCCCCCACTTTCTCCTCCCAACATTTTCTGTCTGTCTTCAGCTGATATAACAGAGAGAAGAAAACAAGTTCTACTGGCCAGCTAGTGGAGAGTTTACCATATCAACCAATCTCTCTTATGTTTAAGAGAGATTGTTAAGTTAAATAAATTAGCAACTTCAGTGGGCTGAAGCAAAAAAAAAAAAAATAGTTATGAACTATCTAATTATACAGGTACTGTACATGGGGTATTTCTTGTATGTTATAACTTTAAACTCTTGTTCTTTGTTTTATCAGGTGACCCTTGTCCACTCAAGTGAGGCTGTCACAGTTCTACGTAGGCTAAACAGAGATCATCCTGATAGGGTTCGCTTCCAAAGCGTCTTCCGCTCAGGCTCAATCTCTGAATCTACCATCTGTAATGTTTGCCTACGCCAAACCAGCCAGCCACAGTGCAACTACACTGACCTCCATACAGGTGACCCGTGGTTCTGCTACAAGCCAAAGAATCTGAACTGTGATGCCAGGTTTAACCACATGAGAACAGGATATAATAATAATGTACTCAAGACCGAAGAGTTGAAGCTGTTTCAAAGGTGATGGAGCTTAAAAAAACTACTTTTTTCAAATATTAGAGCTTACTATGTATCTCCTGGTTTAAATATGTCTAGTTAATAACAACGGACATTTATGAGTAAATCTAAAGGTATTTATATATCTTTAAAGCCCAAATATGGAGGCAGAGTAACTTAATGCAATTAAATCTTTACCTTTTGGTAAATCATGTTTTGACAGTGATTATATTAGTGTGTGTAAAGTACAATATATAATGTGAAGTTTTATACAGGAATGTCAACCTGAAAGTCTTAATTCCTGCTTCAGGACCTGCCAGTGTCACTGTGTTGCCACGAAGGAAAGGTAAGCCTGATCTTTCCTACTCTCACCAATAAAAATTGAAACTGAATGAGCTTGAGACCTTGACAGTTAAAGTGACTTGTGAAAAAGTACATACAACCTATCTCTCTTATACCAGGGCATTGGCAGAATGAAGTTGTTTTGGTAATTGCTAGGTATTAAGGATATCCCATATGGGGGGTAAAGGGTCTGTTGATGATAAGTGATACCTGAAATAACCCAATCCTTTTTTTTTCAATTCTTCTCAGGGCAACCTGCAGTCAATCAAGACAGTGGGAAGTCTGGACTCTCTGGGTATTACTACCAGGGTGTGTGGCGATCACTATGTGGCTTTAACGTTAACCAATTCAACAACGACTCTGCAATCAGCCAGTGTTTGAAAGGCAAGGTGGTCCACATGTATGGAGACTCAACCATCAGGCAGTGGTTTGAGTACCTCAACGCTTCGCTTCCAGGTATCTGTTCCACAGTTATTGTAGGCAAAATTTGGTTCATTAATATTGCAACTTAATCTGTTCCTTCTGTCACACTTGCAGAGGCTAAGGCAGTAAACCTGAACAGTCCGATGCAAGCAGGACCTTACATGATATGGGAAAATGCAAACAAAATCATGGTAACGTACCGCATCCATGGTCTTCCTCTTCGGATTTCAATAATACCAACCAGTAAGGAGTGTTACGTTTCCAAAGAACTTGATACGCTGGTTGGTGGTACCAACACAGTTGTAGTTTTAGGAATCTGGGCCCATTTCAGCACTTTTCCAATTGAACTTTACATCAGACGGCTTCAGAGCATCCGCAGGGCAGTGGTCCGTCTGTTGAATAGGGCTCCTGGCACACTGGTGGTCATCAGAACTGGGACCCTCCAAGCTATGCACGTTGGTAATGTGATAAGCAAAAGTGACTGGTTCTCGTTTCAGGTGGACAAGGTGCTTAGAGCCATGTTCAAAGGACTTAATGTCCAACTGGTGGATGCATGGGATATGGTTCTTGCTCACTACTTGCCACACAACATTCATCCAAAACGTCCCATCATTAAGAATATGGTTGATGTTCTATTGTCCTACATATGCCCACAAAAGAAGAGATAGCTGTTAATTTCATGAAGGAATTTTAACAATTCAGGAAAAATGCAGCTCTTGTTGGTAAAACTGAAGTTTTTCTGCTTCTTGTGTGTTTCTATCAAATGATTTCTTTTTCCTAAAGCAGACTATACAGACAAAGCAAGTACAACTTTGATCCATCTTTTTAACAGAGAATTGTGAGTAAAAAAAACGAGAGCAAACCGGATTGCAATCAGTTTGAAGTCAAATAGCTCTAATAAAAACAGGCGTGTGAAGATTCACATTAACCCACACAGCTCATTGAGCTAGGTACTTAGTTTGATGAAAACATTCCTGGAGTTGTAGGAAAATACTAAGGATAATTATGAGATTTGCTTAGTGGCCAATGTCAGATGTATTAAATGGAAATTTAAATACATCTGAGCTCAAGTCTAAATTCACCATTTAGTCCATTTACTCTATAGAATTGTATGAGAAGTTACTATCTACCCATTAACTAATGGCTAACTAGTAGTTAATTCCCCATTAACTATGCAACAATTTGTGTAGTTACATTATTATTATTAAATTATTACAATTTTAATTCTTTTAGATCTTAGCGCAGCTTTTGATACTGTTGATCACACAATTTTAACTGATCGTCTCAGACATTGGGTTGGTTTAAAGGATACTGCACTTAGCTGGTTTTACTCTTATCTTTTAGAAAGAACCTTCGCGGTCACCATCGGTAACTACTCCTCCTCTACCTCTAACATTACCTGTGGTGTACCGCAAGGTTCGGTTTTAGGTCCCATTTTATTCTCCATTTATATGCTGCCTCTTGGCCAAATAATTGAACGCCACAATGTCTCCTTTCACTGCTACGCAGACGACACACAGATATACCTTCCTTTGAGACCTGAGGACCCTAGGAGCCTAGCTGCGGTCAGAAACTGCCTAAGCGATATCAACTGCTGGATGGCGCAAAACTTTCTCCAACTGAACAATTCTAAATCTGAAATCATAGTATTCAACCCGCCAAACACCACTCATATCTCAAAGAGCAGCCTCGGTCCCTTATTCACCAATGTCCAACCCACCGCCAGAAATCTAGGAGTAACATTCGATTGCAATCTCACCTTTGAATCCCATATCAAAACAGTTGTCCGATCAAGCTTCTTCCATCTACGCACCATCTCCAAAATTAAAACAATCCTAACCCAACGAGACCTTGAAAAGATCATCCACGCCCTCATCTTCTCCCGACTTGACTACTGTAACTCCCTCTTTTCCGGAATCACAAATAAGTCACTGTCTCGCCTCCAGCTGGTCCAAAATGCAGCAGCTAGGCTTCTTACTGGTTGTAACAGACGACATCACATCACTCCAATTTTAGCTTCATTACACTGGCTTCCTGTACGTTCTAGAATCGATTTTAAGATTTTACTCATTACTTTTAAAGCACGGACGGGGCTGGCTCCAAGCTATATAACAGAGTTACTGACACCATATGAGCCAGCCCGCAGTCTTAGATCCTCGGGTGGGAGCCTCCTGGTCGTTCCAAAGTCGAGACTTAAAACTAAAGGTGACCGGGCCTTTTCAGTCAGGGCCCCTCGACTTTGGAACGACCTCCCTGAGGAGATAAGACTTGCAGACTCCCTCAATTCTTTTAAATCCCTTCTTAAAACATACTTTTACAGACTTGCTTTTATGTGATGTCGTCTTCTTAATGTCTTCTCTTACTGGTTTTACTATTTTTATCTTCTTCTACTTCTTACTGTCTTTTATTTATGGTCTTATCTCGTATTTATGCTCATATCTTAATCTCCTCTTGTGTTTTAACTTGGTAATTTCTTATCTTACTTACTTTGTCTATTTATGTTTCGTATTTATAGTTAATTTTTATTTTTATTAATATTATAGTTTTGGGTTTTTTGATCCTTTAACCACTTGTTTTTATTTCCTTTACTGCACTTACCTTCTCATTGCTTTTTATTTGCTTTTATCTCTTAGTTTCTTACATCTTTTTAAATCTTTGGTCCTCTTGGTCTCAGCTCATGTTGTTGGGTTCTTGTGTTCCTGGGTTCTTATGATGGTTCTTATGATGGTTGGGTTATATATGTCTGGTTGTGTATCGTGCACTTTGGGTTCTTTTCTGTTGAATTGTTTTTAATTATTTTTGGTATTTTGCATCTGTTATATTCTTACTGTTGTTAATGTTTTTCTGTGTTTAGTTTGCTTTGTTCTTGCTGTTTGTCAAAGCACTTTGTAAACCTGTGTTTTTAAAAGGTGCTATATAAATAAAGTTATTATTATTATTATATTATTATCTGTTAAATTATAATTAGCTACTCTGGAACATGTAATGAAGAAGTACTCACTATCTACCCATTACTAAATACCCATGACATGAATTTATTCAGCCAATTTACATGAAAACTAAAAAAACTAAACTAAAATAATCCATTATGCCATCCAACCTTTGGCTGCTCAATTGAAAAAGAAAAAAGTCAGGAGAATACCTCGGCTTGTGAGGGAGCTTCTCCTATTCACCTTAACAATCATGTAACTATCTTATTAACCATTAAGTGGACTTCTTTTTTTTTTGATTCAATGTGTTAATCAGCTAAAGTATGGATCCACTGTAGTTAAATAATTAATGAGCTTAATTTATTATGTGAGTAAATGTTTTGTTGCTTTGATTATTAATCATGTCCTCTCTGAGGTAAAATTTCTGTTGACAAAGAAGCATAGCATGTTTCCTTGATGTCTGATGATATAGTTAGGTCATTTTTATGATTTAATTCAGGAAATATCCTACATATGGGACCTTGAACTTGATCCTAGCCTGAATGGTTGGATAATGGACTTTTTACCAATAGGTGGCAGTGCGTGACAGTAAATGGTGTTCTTTCTATCCTGATCTTTTCTTCCACCAGCTTGTTGTCTGTCAGCCCTTCTGTACATTATGCACACTAATGAGTGTTGCAGCATTTCTGTGCGTGTGCTGTTGTATGTGTAGATAATTTATATTTTATATGCTGCAGCTGGATTGCTCCTACAGAGTTTTGTTGTATAAATTTACAATGACAATAAAGATCAATCAATCAATCTATCAAAAACAGACACATTGGGAAATGTGTTGATGTTACTTTGATTGTCAGCCTTCTTGATGGGGGAGAGCAGGGTTATGAGGCAGTTGTGGATGACTTTATGGCTTGGCATGATCAATCTTTTCTTCATTTCAATGTGTCATAAATAAAACACATGATTATTGTTTCAAGCAAATTTTCACTTTAAATAAGTAGAACAAATTGTCCATGGAGTCAGTGTTTTTTCTTATTACAAGCAAAAAAAACTAACTCCATGGAGTTTCTTCTTATTTCAAGTTAAAATTTGCTTGAAACAAGCAAAACATGTGGAAATCAAGTGACTTTTTAGGTGATGTGTCTTATTTTAAGTGTAATGAGATTTGTTTTGACTAGAAATAAGACAAATATTCTTGGTAAGATTTTGAGTTTTTGCAGTTGACAGCAGTGGTCACCAGCTTATTTGTATAACTTTAGATAGAGGTAAGACTGGTGGGGTGCTGGTGGGACAATGGTTAGGGCGTGCAGCCCATGCATTGAGGCTGTCATCTCAAGCAGGCAGCCCAGGTTCGCATCCCGCACATGGCCTCCCTCCCGCATGTCATTCCCCACTCTCTCTCCCTGGTTTACAACTCTATTCACTGTCCTATCGCTCCATTAAGGGCAAAAAAAGCCTACAAAATAAATCTTTAAAAAAAAGAGGTAAGACTGGTCCTTTAACTGTGGTTAGAAAAATGTATATATAGCACTTTGAATTTGACACTGACAACATAGAACAGTACTGGCAATATAAACTCTTCCAGGTTTGAAGATCTGTATAGCATTACAAACACTGTAATTTATGAAATATGTTTAGGTTTAATTTTAACAACAATGGAAAAACATCAACCACAAACAGTTGGCCAGTTTTTACATACAACTTTTCCAAGAATACAGTGTCACATTTTTATTTTTTGTAAATAAATTGTCTTTATTGAAAATTAACTTAAGTGTGACTTTTTTTTCCACAGTGCCTTCAGCTGTCATATTTGAATTTTAAAGAGATCATACATTTAAAAGAAAAATTCTACCTTCTTTTACTACAACGATGCATCTGCCCTCCACATGTAGAACTTGTGGATTATATAAAAGATGACGCTGCTAAACTTCTGAGTGAGTGTGTGTGTGTGTGTGTGTGTGTGTGTGTGTGTGTGTGTGTGTGTGTGTGTGTGTGTGCAGTTTTCATTTGCTGTCTAAGCAAGATTTTAGGCCAAATCCATTACCTACAATCCACTCTTCAACACAGAGATGAATTCTGTTCTAAAATCTCCATAGTCTTTGTAGTTAGATGCCAGTTTCAAAGAACAACTGCAGGTGTCAACCAAAGGCGCCCTTGCGAACTGTGGCTGTTCTGCTGTGAATGTGACTTTAATGGTCTTGGATAGGAACAAGTCAGACCCTGTGCAGTACCTGAGGAATAAGCCAAGCTCCTTCTCATCTCTTTTTCTTACAAATCTCAAGAGATGATTTGAGGTAGTTTGTTCTTCCAGTGACATAGATCCTGGTAACTTGATGGTTTTGGTAATGTTTCTTGCCTTGGGTTTGAGATCATCCAGAATCTTCTTCAGTCATTCCCAACTCATGGATTGTCCAATAGACCTGAGAATTGATTTCAAACATTTCAAACACTGGGTTGTATTTATATCAAATGTGTTTTCCCCTCTAAATGGGGTTCTATTTTGCTGTCTTAACTATGCGCAGGAGTCGAGAAGGATTTTTTTTTGCTATGTTGAACGCAGAGCCTTATAATTCAGAGGCTCTGGTTGCACGGAGCCTGCACTCTCTCACGCGTTCACTCTCTCACGTGCTCTCTCTCTCTCTCTCTCTCTCGTGCACGCACACGCAGCAATTTTATGAATAATTGAAAAATTTAATAAGAACAGGCCGGAAATATACTTGGGCCCAGGTATCGTCTTTGTGTGGGAAACACTGGAGACTAAATATTCTCAAACAGGTTGTTGGTATAAAGTTGTCATTTT